ATTAAAGAGCCATCGTTATTTAAAAATCACATTTCATTGATCTTAACTATTCTCCAAGGCTTAAAAATTTTTAATCTCAAATATATTCTCACAATTATGCAATATATATATATATATAATTTTATTTTTCCCATAAATTATTAATAATGAAAATTATTTATATGGTTAAAATTTTAATTAATATGTATTCATTTATTCATGTATTATATTGAATTTGAGCTCACAATTCTCCTTAATTCTCCAAATAAATCATATAAAGATTGAATTTATAAGCATAAAGAACTTATTTTCATTTTCAGCTCACATTGAACTTGATATCTTCTATAAAACTCGAATAATTAAACTCAAGAGCAAGAGATGCCATGTGAGCTTTATTCATTTAAATATGCAAGAGTTAAAATTGAAGATGTAGAAATACTTAATAAAAACTACTAAATGATATAAATGACTTCTTAAGTTTCTAATGAACTCATTATTATTAACTTTAATCTATTAACTTAAGCCTTTGAATTAAAAATAAAATTCTTTCTCTAATATTTCAAGTTTCCAATACTTTACTCTCCTAAACCTCTCCTCAAAACCATGCTATTTTTTCTTCAAATACTAAATTTACTTTCATGAGAATGGATTGCATCTCAACCGAAGCCATTTTATCATTTTCCTCATATATTTAATGTAAATAAATTACTCTCACATAATTTTCATGATTTCTCACCCTATGTTAAATTCAAACAAAAAGGCCCCACCCTTCTCCCATCACACTCACTCATTTCCCTTTCACTTTAGCAATCTTATGTCCTACGCTTACTTGATGACTATCATACTACACTTTGCTTTTATCATTATCATAACCATCTCTTTTTGGAAGCTAACATTTAATCAAATATGACATCTCCTCCAAAACTTCTATCTCTCCTCAACTTTATCATATTCTCTTATGAAGTGGCTGTTGTCAGGCTATTATTGGCTGAAATGGGTCCCTCTAATACACCATGCATTGGCTCACGTCATGGCTGCCACATGGAAATATGGAGGGCCGGGATATATATGCCATCAATTGCCTTCTCATGAATACATCACTTTGAGAATTTAGTTTGTTATTTTGACCCCCAATTATTGAACTAAGGTAAAATGACACTTTTGTAATGTGGTATCGCTCACCTACCACATCTCACCTACCGCTCACCTACCTCACACAATACCACTCTCTTGCTTCTATATGAGGCTTAGGAGAGCAAGGGAAGAGATCTTAAGCTACCACAAAGGAGGAGATAATAGCTAGAGAGCTAGAGAGGAGGAGAGCATCTTGAGGCCTTGTATCAATGTGTCGCTTGAGAGGGAGGCCATAGAAGGAAGATGAGAGCTCATCTCTATGTATAAGCTATGTATTCTATTTTTCATTTGTCTTAGTGAACTATGTGATTGATTCCCTCCTGTGGACGCAAATCTAGTTGGATCGAACCACGTAAACGATCTATGTTTCCTTGTGTTCTTTGCGTTTCATTTCTATGTCAGTAAGTACATATCTCACAACATAATTTAAATATTTGGAGCATAAAATTTTGAGCTCCGAGCAAAAATGGCATCCTCCCATACAAAATCACAACATTCCCAGTACTAATGCTGATGTTAAGAACCACAAAAAGCAGATAACTTTAACTCCATAAAGCACAAAAATGGAGTAAAATCCAATTCAATATTCTGAAAAAAAAGCAAAAACAGACCTCCTCCACAATAGCAATTAACAACCATCATGTGCTGAAGAGAAACCAACTTCATACTCATAGCTAAGAAGGCTGCAATGGAAAAAACAGAAAGGTTGGGGACCTCTCAGAAAAATAGAGCGAAAGAAGATTGAATCCAAAGCCTCAAAACCTACCCATAATTTAACTCTTGCAGCTAATAACGAAAGAAGGATTTACATACATACCACCTAATTAAATTAACTCCTATGTATTCACATATCTAGCACCTAAACTTTACTCTTTCGCATGATTTATACCACCCAAATCTTTCACATCACATCACATCAAAATTATCAATATTTTAACATTTTAAAAATTGAGTACCGTATATTTTTCATGGATATGTATATTGACATATATGTAAGAAAAGTAAGGTTTAGGTGTTAGATATATAAATACATAAGAATTGCATAGCGTATGTATGTAAATCTTTCATAACATATATATATATTGTGATAATTTTAAATGATTTTATATGAATTATGAGAAATATCACTCAATTCCTATTTATTTACATGTCTTATACATACCACCTTACCAATACTTGAAAAGCTGTATTTCACTTTTTAAAAATTAATGCAGTGAATTTTTTAAATTACATGAAAGATTTGGATAGTATAAATGTAAAAAATAAAGAAAAATTTAGATGTTAAATACGTAAATACAAATAGGAATACGGTGTTGATGGCATGTATGTAAATCCCACAAAAATATAAGGATTTCTTTCTAATTATTATATTGATTCAGTGCAGCAGAAAAGAAGCAGAAAAGAACAAAGCCCATTTGAAGAAATAAAAGGCCCCCAAAATTGTCTGGATGCATCCATTTTGGCACAGCCCAACCACTACATTTACTTTTTGAGTGATTATAATACTAGAAGTGCTCAATGTTTGATGCTTACATCATTGTAGCTTCTCTAGTTAAGTGATAAACTTGAGAAAATTAAATATTTCATTGTGGCTTCTCATGGCATATAATCTTGCAAATACAATTTAAAAAATAATATAAAAAAGAATAAAAAATGAATATTAAACTTTAATAATTATTAACTCAACATAAGCTAGTAAGTGTAGATCATTTGATGTTTCTGTAATAATATATTTTCAGCTATTTAATATAAAATTAGATTTATATACATCAGCCTTCACTCCGCCTCAAACAAAACCATCCAATTCTTTTGTATTTGCAAATTTAACACTAGAGTTGATTATTTATATTTATGCCACTCAAAATTTTCAAATAAAAAAAAAAACTATAAATACATATTTTCATGCATAATTAAGGCGATATGCTGGAAAAAATTGATGTTTAATTGTTTGATATGTAAATTCTTAGAAATAGAAATTGAATGGTATGTGTGTAAGAGACTACTACAATTCAAAGTAAATATAGATTCAATGCACTCAGGTGCCTTGATAACATTACGTTCGGATAGCCAACTGCAGGTGGTCACGTCGCCCGGAACCGTGTATGGAGATGTAGCGCCCGACGGTTAGTAAATCAGAGGTGAGTTGTCCGGACGTAAAATTTTCTCTAAGAACACATCATTTCTGTTGGGCTTTTTGTTTTGTATTATTATATTTTTTTACTGGTACACAAGCTAAAATGCATTAGCATTGGGCTCGCATGTCAATGAAACTACATGTATACTTTTAACACTGGCATGAGAATATATCAAAATTTAGACAGAAAATGACTAGAAAGGGTAAAAATAAAATAAAATAAAATAATTAAGCGCCTGCTTAGGATCACGTTGTATTATTTTATTTTATTTTTTATTTTCCATTTTAGAAAATATGTTTGATAATATTTTATATGTTTTTTAAAATAAAAAATAAAAAATATATATTAGTTAGGTATTTTTATTTTTTAAAAAGAAAAAAACTTGTATTTTTTATAAAATGATTGGGTCTACGTGCATTTCAGTATTTAGCTTGGTCGCCCATGACGTATACTCCACCCAACACGAAACATTACTTGTAGGCAGGTAATGGGCGAGCACCGTCTGTGGCAGATGGAAACTGGTAGTGGCAGCGAGCGGTAGGGGTGTAAACGAACCGAACACGAACGAACAAAGCTTGTGTTTGTGTTCGGTTCGTTTAAAATTTAATTTGTTTGAAATAAGCTCGTGTTCGTTTCTTAACGAACGAGCCGAACACGAACCGAACACGAGCT